CTTCAAATAGCTGATTTTTACCTAAGTTCTGGAGTGTAGTTGCTGGGTAATTATTGGAAAGGTTATTTTATCAAAGGCTCCCTCGATATCTATTTTGTAATGAATTAAATTACCAGGGCTTTTGTCCCAGTTTCCACATTTGAAAAAATATTGGGTAACAGGAAATTATTCAATTTCAATTGATCATTCAGTAAATTACCCGAATTCCTGAATCTATTGATTTCTAAACATGCTAGAAAATTGAGTTTCAAACTCGTCTCTTCTAAGTGTAACACGTCGTATTTATGTTTGAACTCATGTCCTTCTTCTAAACGGTGGTTTGCAAATGTGGAATTGGTCTTTCTATTTACAAATTTACTTCTATGTTCTTTAATTCTTTGGGAAAATATTCTCCCTGTTTAGCCAATATACAGTTTTGGAAGCCACAAGTCGGTTTATATACTCCTGATCTATCCGACATCGAAGTTTTTTCTTTATTCTTTCTAATAAATTAACTTAGACTATTAATCGTTCTGTAAGCTACGTTTATGCATTCTTCCTTCAAAAAACGGGCAATAAATTATTGGTTAGTTCACGCAAATGCGACAATGTCCTATAACTGAATTTGGGTAGACCTGGTCCATCGCTTGCTTTTGTAGTTTTTTTGGAAAGAATGGAGTCAGAATGTCATCGTCAATTCATCCAGGTTTGGAGACCAGCTCCCCTACCCTTTTGGCTGATTGTTGGTCTTGAGAGCGACCAATGGGTTCATGACTGAATAGGTGACGGCATGAAGTCCTTAGACATCAGTGCCGCCCTTCACGGGATACCCCTACCTGGCTGGGGTGGGATGGATGAAAAAGTTATTCATCCNTAATGTTCGTGTAAAATGGTTTGTGGAAAATTTCAAATTCATGTTTATTGTTATTTTTCATAATGGTTGAGTCAAGGTAAGTTATTGAATTATTTACCTCCCTTTCAATGGTCAGATTTATTGACGGGTAGATGGAATTGACATATTCAATGAACTTGCCTAATTGCCTATCTGTATCAATGAAACAGACCAGTACAGAACCAGTATAGAAACATTTTAGATTTGTTATAACGGTCATCGAAAATTACTAAGAAGTGTTTGTTTTTTGAAAATTTCTCATTGATAAGCGATAACATATTCACCAACAAAAATCAAACGATATTCTAATGCCATTTAAATAACTTTGTTTCAATTTACGAAATAGTTTTGAATAAATAATTAACAATATTGAACATAATCCTTGAAGCGAAATCAAAATCAATCCAAAATTGACATTTATCAAAATAACTTAGCATGTTTGCTGATATCGTATTGCTAATCAGCATCCAGTTGAAATATAGCAAGATAACTGCTCAATGTTGTAATATACATTATACATTGATTATGAATACCTCTACAATGTTTTAACAGTACGTTGTTACGAAACTCAACTAGATACATGATAGATTTTGGAAAAACAACTATAATGCAATATTATTTCTAGAAAAACAGATGATTTATAAATAAAGAAAAGAGAATTGGAAGTTTCTATTTTCTTCTATCTTCTTCTTTTCTTCTTTTTGATTTCCTACCCCGTAGTAACTGCTATACATCCATTAATTGATTAATAAATATGTTGATTCTTGAAATTTCATGAGAACAAATTGATCAAGTCTCCTGTATAAAGAGTGTGAGGTTATGAATATGAGACAATTATATTACTATTGTACAAACGTGAAGTATCATTTCAGCAAAAATAGAGCATCATCAGGAATCCACGACTATGAAACACGACATCGCGACCAACTAACATATCGTACTATTGAAAAGTTAATTTCACAAAGAGCATATTCTTTCATGGCAACTATATTATATACCACTGTACCTGACAAAATGAAAAATTCTTATTTCAAACCAATATTCGAAAAACAAATAAGAAAACACATTCTCGAAAAAGATAGACAATTTTTCAAAAATCTATTAGAGTGAAATAAGTGAGTCTTAGTCAAATTTATCGCAAAGTTGTGTCACACTGTATTGTAAGTAGCATAATCTTATCCATATTGGCTAAGATTTTATCTATTTATACATTATTATTTTATTCTTAGATAACGTGCAATATTTGTTCAAGGTTTCATCTATTTTGTTTTTCTAGTATTTAATCGGCCTATTTTACGCCAAGCTGAAATATAATTTGTTCAACTATAATAAAATGTTTCTAGTTTCTACTTCATGAACGCCATACTTACTTCTTTACTATTATTTATATACCTAGACATTTTTTATAACGTCTTGCAGAACAGGAGCTCTGCTCTTAATGCCAAACCACTTTGTTAACATATTTTGTTTTAATTATACTCTAATATGTATACGTTATAAATAAAGTTATTATTATTATTATTAATGGTGAGTGAACAACTTCTTCCTGGTCATTAAAATGGAAAATTGAATACTTTCGTTTATTGATTTACAGAGAATCTAGCAAATTTAATTTTTCGTTTGATTTCCTGTATGCCAGAGTCCATGTTGAAATCGAAGTTGTTCTCTAAAGTGAAGGTGGATTTGATTTTCTTCAGTTCAAATTTTTTTATGTTCAAAGATTCTCGTATTGATATTTCTTGAAGTCGTTCCTATATAAATTTTTGGGCACAATTCACATGTTCGTTTGTAGACCCCGTTATCTTTATTCATGTTTGTCTTGTTGTAAAAATATAAAGAACGACAGTAATTTTTTGTGGAGAAGATGAAAAGTTTTTCTTAGAATTACTTCCGAATAAGAACAGTAAACAACACTGTACCACAACCATCCATGATGTATTTGAAATATTTATCGTACGTATGAACAATATTTGTATAACGTAATATAGGAAAAGCACCCACGAGAAAAACTTTCAATCTTTGGGTGTACTTCGAAGTTTCGGTTGAATACACTCGTCTTTACTCCTTTTTGGTCAACTCTGAAAGACGACTCACACACTCCGGTTATTTTATGATTCTTTTCTTGACCCAAATATACGAGTCATTTTAATCCTTGACACCATAAACTTGATGAATTGAAACATTCCGAGAAAAAAACCGACCGGAAACAGAAATAGGCTTAAACTAACGGACATTATGGAGTTCTATCGAAGAAATTGCCGGATGCGGCAGTCATAGACAGATTTATGGCCATACCACACGTTTTACGCTAATACCCAGCAGCGTGAATAGGGCGAAAATATTTCAAAGGATAATGACTGCCTTATCTATCTTGTAAAAGTTGTGTTGCAAACCCATAATGGTTTTTGAATGGCTGTGAAATTATTTCCCTATATACTCTTTAAATTCTAAATGTTTGATGATTTTTTTCAAATCCTGATGATATTGTTCTGTATTTCATTAGTTCGGACTTCCATCGGGTGATAACTGCGGGTGATAACAGTTATCACCCAGAGACGATTGTGGATACTAACAATCGAAACGTTGTGACATAACTTGGTTTGAAATCTTTTGATTTTTCTTTTTCATTTTTTGGTAATAATTATTTTTAATGTTTATTTTTCAGCTTTTATTAATATTTCAATTTTTATTTGTTTGATAGTTACTTGTATGTTATTTCTTTGTGATTTCAGTTTTTTGTTTTAATTAAATTGTTATTTTCGGTTAATCTTATTAATTTTTTAATTGTTTTTTTCAGGGTTTCCAAATCAATTTATATTATATTAGACAATGGAGGTCCGAACTGATGAAATACACCACGAAACATTGTCAACCACCTTCAAACAAACGATGTTGTTCTGGTTAGGCAGTATTTTTTCCTTGTGGGGAAAGAATATTTTCAATGTAATCCTTTGACAAGGTTCAAATTAGTCCAAAAAAATTGGTTTTTAGGTAAAAACTTTGCCTGCTAAAAACGTGTTTTTGAATTTTTGCAAAAAGTCCTTGCCCTTCAAGTAGTTACGATGCAAACTTGATAAATGGAAAGAAAGGCTCGAAAACAGTTGAAATATTGACAGTGGCATACGTTGACTGTACTCTGAATCAGAAAAATGACTAGACACATCGAAATTGATCCGTTTGTTTTGACCGATGTTTAGAACCTCTGCTCAATACTTTCAACCGTTTCCTGTCCTCTAAAGCACCTATATCGTACAATCGTACAACAAGCCATTTAGGGTTAGGTGCATAATTGCTGTGACTGAACTCAAGTTGAACAATACTAGGGAACAATACTGGGGAGCACCGTGTTTATTCGTATTTATACTTTTATAGGCAGTGATGGTGGGGGACTATTTATTGGATACCAAATTCTGTTGAGCCGCATACGTTTTTCTTTTCTGTTTGAATTGTTGGGATACTTATAGATCTCTTATAGATCTCTCTATGAAGTTGTGGGTGCTAATGTGACATATTGAGTAACACATCAGTTTTTGTGTATTCCATTTCTTTCTATTTCTACTAGAACATATAATACAATTACGAATTTCTCGAGTTTTATAAAATGGCAACTACGCTTTTTTTCTTCTATCCTGGTACTGAAAGTATTTTTTCTTTTGTGTAATTTAATGTTTATATGAAAGTAGTTGTTTCAAGAGGGCTTTTTCATGCAATTTGTGTCTGGAACTTACTTCTTCGCATGATCTTCACATCTTTGGGAAGTGTTCGTTTTGAAATCAATTGATTTCTTTCTTCCTTTGGGAGTTTCTCATTTTTTTATGAAGATGGAGAAGTAGAAATTCAAAAGTTTTCTTCTCAAAAAACTAATTTCTCTTACAAATACACCCCTTTCAATTTGAGTATGATATTCAATAGATATTTTCATTCATTCAACGTTAATTATTCATTCATTCATTCATATTGAACAACAGATTAGAAAATATGGAAATTTTCTTCAACTTTATTAGAACATTTTTTTTGCATTTAGTAATTGTTAACTTCAAATTGTTCATTACATTGAATTTTACACTTCAATTCATACAACTTTTCTGACATTTTGAATGTCATCAACTTATTATTATTTTTGTTCCAGGCTGCCAGTTACGGTAAAAAGAACGGAATATGGTACGCCGCCCCCGGAGGGCAGGGATGGAGCAAAGCGACAAGCAGGAAGGCGTCAATAGTAGAAACGGACGCTCCTCCCCCAGGGGGTGGACCTGTCAAACCGAGCTCCGGTAGAGTAATTAGGATAATAAATAATATGGACCACACAGTACAGGTAATTCAGTGTATTAAATACCACCACAAGTGATCCAGAAAGTAAGGTATTTCCTTCTGACAACAGTGGCGTACATAAAAATTTGTATCAGAGGCATCTTGTATCAGTGAAGACCCAAATGTATAATATCATAAAGGGAATTTATTTTTAATATTATGAACTCAAATGATCCATTACGTTGGTAGCAACTCAGGAAATGTGATTTATATTATATACAGTCAGAACTTATAATGTTGCTTCTATGATTTATTAAAAAAAACCAAACGGATTCACGGATTCAATAGTAAAATACCAACTGACTCATCTGAAATAATATTAGTCTCTTATCAATATAATTATATTTATTGTTTTCCCGGGAGTATTGAAAACGTAATAAACTTTCTTTCTATTCATCAGAGTTAGCTGTGAATCAAAAACCCATATCCATAATATTTTCAACAGAAAAAATTTATGGAAAAAATATTAGAGTCGAACTAATCGACTAATTGAATCGAAAGTCGTTTATGTTGAAGAGTTGCAAATCCTCAGTTTAGGCTCGGTACTGAAGTTGAGGAGTTGAAAGCCCGTATTGGCATTTTTTCTCAAAATTGAGCCAAAAATAACGTCCTTGAATAATAGCATGTTATCAATTCACTACCCTGCGTACAATAATTCCTTCACCAGAACATATACAGATCTACCTTCACCAGAATCTCTATATATGCTTTCACCAAAAATTAGAATGTGGTTTTTTGATAGGATTTTATGCACTAGTCTTTCTCAAAGTAGGCGTAACGTCCCCCTTGTGCGCGCTGGACGCCTATAGGGGGGCAGTAAAGGGCACATAGAAGATTGGGGGCGTTGAAACGATTTAGGGGGGCGATGGCTAATTCAAAAATGTATTTTTTAACACAAACTTTACAGCTCCTTTACGTTTAACGCGCGTTTCCTCGTGTAACACAATTTAGGGGACTAGACAGTAACTGTTTCCTGTCCGATAGTTGTCAAACAGTACAATAGATGGCGGTAAGCTTCAATGCGAAGCAAGAAGTTTCTAGTCTCCATTCTCGAAAGTACTAGGCCCGCCCGCTGCCTCATATAAAAGCGCGCGTGTCATCCAGCCAGTAATGACCACCCCCACGAGTCGCCGTTAGGCGACTCCGATAAGCATATTAATCAGACTTTCTTTCAAAAAGTTCACCGCAGAACAACTCGACCGCGATTCAATTATCCTCAGATTCACTGAGGAACGCTCGACGCTAATAACAATAGCCGCCGGTTAGTTTTTGGGGGCACCCATGCAAAAATAGTCAAGACAAAACATTTTTACCGATCACGAGATAATAGAACCCGGAAGGGGGCATGGGGGGAGCCAGTAATGTCATTCGACGATATTACGAAAAGAAGTGAATTCAGTTAGCGACTACCTAGGTGAAGTGCTGTACATGCGGTGGTGAATACTGTGAGGGGTGTCATTAGCAAGTTTTTAATACTCCATTCTTTACTTCGGCATTTTTGAAGACAAAATTATGTCGGAAACAAAAAAGAAGAAACGGCAGCATAGCGCGAACTGGAAAAGAAACACTCAGCTCATTCAGCTGTGTCAAAACTTTTTTTAGCGGCTTCTAAGCAAGACGATGACGGACTCCAAGCTTCCTACAATATGTCTTTGCTAATTGCTCAAACAGGTAAACCTCACACTATTGGAGAGGATTTAATTTTACCGGCAATAGTTTATGTGCTCCATAAATCGCAACAAATATTATCCGAAATTTTTTTTCACCAATAGTTCCGTGCAAAGACGAATTGATGAGATAGCTGTAAACATTGAAGAGTCATTGGGCAATCATCTGAAGACTTCTAAATTCTCAATTCAGTTAGATGAGTCCACTTTACAAACCAATGTAGGGTTGTTGTTGTCATACGTGAGGTTTATTAAAAATGAGAAAATATATCAAGAACTACTATTTGCCAGAAATTTAGAGACAGATACAAAAGAAGAAACCATATATAATACACTGGAAAAATTTTGTGATGAGAAAGAAATTCCACTGTAGAATATTATATCAGCTGCTACGGATGGCGCTCCGGCTATGACAGGACGTCACAAATGCTTCATAACGTACTTAAAAAATAAAATTCCAGATGTGCTCGCTGTACATTGCGTCATTCATAGGCAGCATTTGGTTGCGAAAAATTTGAGTGAGCGTCTCTCGCCATCACTGCAATATATCATCAAAGCAGTCAATAAAATCCGAAACAGTTCTTTACACGACAGATTATTTAATCAGCTTTGTATTGCTAATGATGAAGATTTCAACCGATTGCTATTCCACACAGAAGTGCGTTGGTTATCAAGAAGTAACTGTCTGACTCGATTTTACAATCATTTGACTCTGTAATATAGTTCTTGAACACAAAGACAAAGAATTGCACGACAACCTCATCACTTCAAAGATTGATATTGCCTACTTGATAGACCTGCATGAATTTTTCAATGATGTCAATCTCCAACTTCAAGGTGACGACTTGAATTTGATTAAAACAAAAAATGTAATTGCTGCTTCTGTTACCAAATTGCTCTTATACAAGAATAATTTCGGCAGACGTGAGTTTCGCATTTTCCCTAATTTGTCAGCAGTATCCTTCAACAACGACGACTTGCTTGTTTACTGCCAACATTTGGAGAACCTCCACAGTTATTTCGCAGAACGATTCCAGGATATTTTTAAATTGGAAATACCGGACTGGGTGTTGGATCCTTTTTCAAATGTCAACACAGCAGGATCACCCCAGCTGGAAGAAGAACTCATACAACTGATAACGAACGAAGAAATAAAAATAAATCGCAAAAATGGATTCCAAGAATTTTGGCTAGAAAAACCAATCCCGCAATTGTACCATGGATTTTGGTCCATCGTTCTACGATTTTTGACAGCATTCCTATCATACGTGGATTTAGTGCTGTGGCAACGTTTCTAACTAAAAAGAGAAATCGGTTGCAGATTACCGAACGCGGTGACTTACGGCTGTTTTTGAGTAAATTCGAGCCTAATATTAACAAACTTGTTGAAAATCATCAGATTCATCCTTAACATTAGATTAGTTTTGAAATTCGAATTGAAATGTTTGTTTTAATAACTTGAACGAAAGTTTTCCTAATATTACAAAATAGTGTTTCACATTACCCCCCTCAGAAAGTTTCATTTTCACATGACACACATAATTTAATTATTGAAATGATGACTGCGGTTGAAATTTTCAAGATGTAGTAGAATAAAAAAAATTGGGGGGCGCTAGAAAATAATTATTAATTCTCGAAGTGGGTGGTAGACAAAATAAGTTTGAGAACCTCTGAATACACGAATGTCAGATGTGATTCAACTCATTTTAAAAACTGTCAGGTACCGTTATACTCCATTTATCGTCCGCTAATGGGTGAAGCAAATGATTATTTGAACAGAATGGAATACAAATATTGTATTCCTGAGGCTAGATTCACCTTTGGACTTCTGAATGCTAACATCATCTAAAGCCCATGTCTGACTATTTTGCATGATGATATCCACTCAGACTCTCATAAACTTCGTTTGCAGTGTCGCGTCCTTCTCAATCTTCGAACCTCCCAGCCCTTCGAAGAAGTCCTCGAAGACCTGGGACAAGTCCTGAAGATGAACGGCGCGAAACGAATGTACACCGTCTCCGGGCAGGAAGTGCGGAGCTTTTCTCAACTCAGGAACGAATTCGCAGATGTCGACACCTTCTACTTGGGGGCAGGGAGTGTCGGTGGTGCGGTAACTCCAGGGGTGATGCTCTCTCCCGTGCGTAGGGCGAGGTCCAGGGCCCCTCAGACTGCGATAGTGGAAGACCTGAGTAAGCAGAGGAGGGCGAGGAGTAAAAGTAGACCTCGGGCCCTGTATGCGCCTGAGAACGAAATCGTTAGGACCAACGGTGAGTGACAACACTGTGTTGATAATAGAACGTTGCGGACTACATTATGAAATAACTTAACTGATTTACATTTCATTTTCAGGTGAACTAAAAATGCTTAATTTTTTTCAAAATAATAACGATATTAACCCTTGTGATGCACTGTTTCGAACCTTTGGTGTAGTATTGAATATAACGGGAGTTTTTCCCAACACCAAACCGTTATTTTAACACCTCGACACGTGTTTCGATCGCCAAGTGATCGCTTGTCGAGGTGTTAAAAAAAAGGTTTGGTGTTGGGATAAAACTCCAGTAATATTCATTATTAACCTTGTTTACCAACACAACAGTGTTTGAATTAGAAGGGGTATATTTTTAGAAGAGGTTAATTTTTTGGACAGAAAGGTTCTGGCTTTCTTCTTCTCCATCTTGATACAAAACAATGTGGGAATCTTCCAAAGAAAGGAAGGAAGCAATCAGATTTCAAAAAAGTAACTCTAAACAAAGATGTGTAAAAAAATATTAGGAAATGTTTAAACCAGTCTCAAATATACCTACACAGTAGGTTGAATGGACTGACGCCTATCATAAAACAACTACTCCACTGGCTAATACCATGAACGGCCTTGGATTATATCCGACAGGCGTCACTGCAGGAATCTTCAGAGAGAATTTCCTATATATGCAATTGGCAATACAACTGAAAGAGTTGACCTTCAATTTTGGAACGAGCACACTTGCAGACCGGTTTCGGGCTCCTTAGCGTCAGTGCAAGATAGTGACCATCATCGACCTAAAGTAAATTATATTCCATAATTGAAAATCGAAATTCTTTTAGAGTATTTCATTCCTCATCTTAGGTTAGAGCGAACAACAAAAATGTCACTCCATCTAGTGGACGAGTTACTAACCAACTGCATATCCGAAATTTGCCCGATTCCTCTGAATAAGGAAGAAAAACTTCCTTCGAAACAAATACCTCTATATGAACACTGACTTATACAAAAAACATTTTTCTGTATTGTTGTATTGTATTGTTTGTATTCCAAACATTTGTTATGGAGTTGAATCAGATGTCATTCACAGGATTCCTACACAATATAGTTAATGAAAGAGGTGAAATTTCACTTACATGGAACACTAAAGAGACGCCCGAAGAAGCCATTGTATGGCAAAATAAGTGTTGAGTTTTGGTAAAACTGAATATCTAAGTTGATATCTTCATTTATATTTCTCAAATATGTTATATGAATGTCCCATCATAACATAAATATGTAGGACATCTAATGTATATTAGTATCAAAAGTTTTTTGAGAAATTCATAAATATTTTTTTATTTAAAAGTACAAACATTTTTTAGGATTTTCAACACGCTTTTATTAGCTTCACCTGTATGTATGTATGTATGTATGTTTGTTTGTTTGTAACTCTCAAGCTCGGGATCTGTAGACAGAATTATGAACATTATTGCTTGATCTATTCGCGGGCAGATGGCGCTGTTCGTAACCTCCTTGATATATCGACATTATGGTTGATCTATTCGTGTGCAGATGGCGCTGTACGAAACCTAATTCGAATTCACTCCACATGTATTCCTCCATTTGAAAAATAGATTTTTTTTTATTACCACGCGCGCCTGCTGCCTTATTTGTAACCATCCTTTGCGCGCCTGTTGCCTTAGGCTTGGTAGCTGATTTTCAGGCTCCCTCTCCGAAATCTGAAAATATCAATGGTCATTTTTCTAAACAATATACGGCTGATTGATCCCAATGTTCAAATAAAATAAATATAGTTTAAAAAGACCAAAAAACACGCTTTCATAGCATACGAAACTAAAAAATGAATAATAAATATAGTTTAAAAAACTAAAAAAACACGCTTTTAAAAAACATCGAACTAAAAAGTTAAAAATATTTTTTTTTAAATAAACTCAAAACATTAACGTAAAAAGCGTGGGCGCTTTGTGCCATATTTTTTGTACATCGCTTTTTTCACAATAATAGTAGTATTTTTCGTTCGTTATTGTTTCAAGGTTATGTAAAAAAAATATTTTCAACTGCTTGGTCCGATGTTCTTTGTTTGTGAGTGCTTTTTTTTTAATTTTTCAAACTATATTTATTTATTTGAATATTCACCATTGAAGAATCTTTAAAGAGATATATCCTCATCGATACTGTATCGAACACTTTAGTAATAATAATAATAATTTATTCACTAAGAGACTAAACATTCAATTGGAATAGTTAAGTCTGGAAAAAAAAAACATACAAGGTAGATTTAACAATATCACATTCAGAGATTCGGAATACAAAGACTCACCGTTAAAAATATAGGTGAAAATGTAAAATATAAATAACAGAAACATTATCATTATTATTATTATAAAAAAAATGAAATCATCGGTACTTTGAAGTAGATACTTCAAAGTAAATAACAAAACTTACGTAAACCGATCTAACCTGAGAATTTCTTTTTAAAAAACACAATATAGTTCTTCACATCAGCGTTCGATTTACTGAAAAACATGTTTCTTCATCTCATCATTTCTTTGATGCCAGCTTCAGATTGCTAAGTAGTTGTTGATAAAACGTCATTCACAAGGTAATCACATTCAAATATTTTCAGACTACACCTTACTAGAAGTTTTGAAAGAAGAACCAGTTCGAGTGACAATAAAAGGTCTCAGAAGAACGTTCTACCCACCAATCCATCATGCACCTGTAGACAACACCCCTCCAGAGAAGAAAATGCAGTTAGAATGGGTGTATCCTTTTCCACAATCAACAAGCACAAAGTTTTATCGCGCTCACATAATTCAGTTTTTATTATTATTATTTGTATGTCGAAGCTAGATAAGACCCGGGTAGTCGGTATGAGAGTGAATAAATCTGAAAAGTGGAGCAACTCAAGACATTTGCATAATCGCCAGAAGGCAAAAGTGCATGTCTCTGAGCAATTTCGAAAGATCGAGAAAGAAAAAAGGCGTGCCACTCTTAATATCACTTCAATTAGGGCTGAACGACTATTTCATGCTCTGTAGGTTTTTAAACTTTCTAAATATATCGGTGAAGAGTTATCTATAGAGTACATCATGGAAACGTTCTATTTCCACTGTAATGTTTCAGGTGAATGTAGTGGATACAATATTCAATGAAGAAATCGAATGAATCTTTTGTTGAATTTGAATTCACTGCAAACACATTTATGACTTGGAATACCTCAAAAATCCCTCACCTAACACCAAACTGGTTTCTGGTAACCTGAGAGGAATCTTCAGCTACTTCATGCTGAAAATTGGATCAACTCGCTGATTTCTCTACTTACTTCGTGTATAAAATAATATGCGCCAGCTAGAATTACCGTTTCAAATTACAATTAGTGGCCTTTCACCATTCCAAATAAGTTCATGAATGTTCGTGCTTCTTATTTTGCGTGTTGGTAAATGGTAAGTTTTCTGCGAAAAAATATTATAACAACAATGACTTGAAACAAGAGAAATTTCGATATCCTTATCGTGCTACCGGGTGAATTCATCAACAATTGAAAAGTGAAGTAAATTTGCTCAACTAAAATACTCGTTTGAAGGAGAACATATTTAAATAATCCACTTGGCTGGGATGGGTAATTATTGAGGTTTCAAAAATATTTGTCTAAACAATGTACAGTTGCGTATAATTTGAAAGGAGGGGGCTTTATCCCCCCGAACTTTAATGAGAGATATAACTGTTTGCTGCATCACGAAATGATTCAGTTGAAGTAATAATAATCTGCAGTTGAATTCTGAGCATTTTATTCACTCGCATTACGGATCATCAATACGAAGAAGTCCAACAGCGCTGAAATAAGAAAAAAAAGTGAATGAGAGTTATAACATCGACTAAAATGCATATCCTAAAATTATTATCATACGGGGTATCTCACAAAAAGTTATGAGTGAAAAAATCAATCAGATATTGGCGATACTATCTCCATTCGAGTTTGAAGGCCGTCGTAGTTTGGAACTATCCTAACGAATGGCTGGCTTTTTCAGATGTTTATTCATCTTGATGATCCACCGATGACTGGTGATTTCTATCCTGTTCGTTGTCTTGATTCAGTCAGATTTTTGGGCCTGGGGCCCCTTATCCTTTCGGCTGTTTGAGATTTGGGTTCTTATGGCGGGGCGGCAGGGGATTGCATGGTCCTCTGTCGACTTCTTTTGGCTCTTGGCCCTGTGTGTAGAAGTCGCAGCATACTTCTTTTGGCTTTGCGGCCGTTCAGGCAGTGTTTCTCGTTTTATTTTCCGGCAACCATGGACTGCAGTACCGAAAACTTCACTAGAAGCGCCTGCAGCTGCCCCAAGGCCGTTGGGAGACCTTCGGGAGAGCTGCAGGCGTTCTCTAACGATGAGACGGCCCTCGCGTACGAGACGTCGCTCCTGATCAAGTTTCTTCCGACAGGCCTTGGGTTTGTGGTCTGTCTGTTTTCGTACCCATGGAAGATCGCTGGGTGTTCTCCCTTGCAGTTGAAGCATCGCAAGGGCGAGTTTTTAGGTCTTTTGCATCCCTTGGTCATGTGCCGTCCGACATATTTGACGTAGGCTAGATTTGCTTTGAAGTTACGTTGCGTGTGGCCGAACTTTTGGCAACTGTAACATTGCCCTGCTCGGTTTCTCGGCTTCTGTGTTTCGGCGCTTACGCACACGTTTTGAATTTCGGTAATCTCGTAAATGTTGTTTTGGCTCCTTGGTACCAAAACAAGCACGAATGGTATCGGTGCCTTGTTAGCTTTACTCAGGCGGGCTATGGAAAGGATCTCAAATCCTTTGGCCTGGAGTTCGGTCTTGATGTCGTCTCACTCTATGGACTCCGGGACCCCGCGAAAAACTACTCTGAGTGGTTTTTCACTTTTCATTGTATAGGTGTGGTAGGGTATCTTCTCTTGATGGAGGATCCGAGTAATTTTTCTATAGTCATCTGTATTTTTAAGGTGGACTTCAATTCCATCTGTTGTATTCACCGCCCGCAATATGGAGATGTTTTGCGCAGCGGCAATCGTGTTGAAAGCTTTACACTTTTCTTTTGCGCGAATGGTTATAGGTGGAGGCCTATCCGCTTTTTTGCGTGTTTCGGCCCGGTCGTTTTTCGGGCATCCGTTTTAAGTTCTTCGTCGCCTACTTCCATTGATTCAGGTGACGGGACTTCTGGAAATTTACTACTGGAAATTTCTATTTACTCGAGTGGTTACTATACTGGCTCCAACAATATCTTGCCCAATAGTTTCTCATTAACCACGTGGTCAATTGTCTTTAAGTCTCTTTTGCAAACTCGAGTATTCTATAAATCGCATACCCTGATTCTAATCCAGAATATTTCAGTACCTTGTATCAAAAATTCCAGATCATTCCATAGTTGTGTTTTCCAGATCATCCCATACAGTACCACAATCTACTCATCTCATTGATAACAATTTATGTAAAAGAGTCAAATTTCAAAGATTTGCTGGTTTATAAAGAAAACACGATTTCATTTGTCCTTGACCCTTTACCACAGATACGGATATCGAGGAACAGATTCAAGAAGAAACCTCTGGGTCTTACCAACAGGAGAGTTACTCTATTTCGTTGCTGCAGTTGCTGTTATGTATGACAGAGATGAGGAAACCCAGAGGCACTATATCGGGCATACTGAAGATATACAGTGGTAAGTTGGTTAGGTACAATTTATACAGAGTGGGCGAGTGAAAACGAAACGGGACAATTTCTCTTGAATAGCATTTGGAAAAAATTTGCTCGGACTCATCGATTTTCATTTCACGAAGGAATTTCTGGGCCTATTCCATATCAAGTGGGATCAAGGTCAAGCGATATCTCATTTCAAAAACCATCGATTTCTTTTTTCAACCCTTTCCACTTTTTGGGAATTGATGCGAGGGATATCAAAGAAACAGTTTAGAAATCAATATATGTTAACATGAAGAAAGTAAGCTTCAGGATTTTTCCACGATCTTACTTGATGTGTTCAAAATGTTGGTCTTCTTCTTGCTGGTTTCGTTCAAAACGCTCTTGGGCATTTTGAAGCAGTTCAGGTGTAATATTGAGTCACTCATCAATATTCCGTGGACGTAAGTGATTTAGAGACGCCGGTTGAGTTTTATAGATTGTCAACTTCAATTGACCCCACTAAAAATCTAACAGATTCAAATCTGGTGATCTTGTGGGCCACTCCACTGATTCTCTTCGGCCGATCCACGCACCAGAAAAGTTGTCAAATACCCACTATACCTTTGCCGTTACCATCCTGTTAGAATTTCAATTTATTGACTTTATCTGTTAATGCAAGTATTACATTCCTTCTGTAAGATTTCCTGGTAGAATAAAAGACCCATAACTCAGTGGTCATAAATTACAGCTCATACATTCAGCTCAGGGTGTTGAGTATGAACTTTTCAAGTCAATACTATTGACATTTCTGTTCACAAAAAACTAACACTCATCTGAGAAACAAATGTTGAACAACCAGTTAGAGTTATTCATTATCAGTTCACTCATCAACTCACAAAATTCTGAACACCATTTAATTCTTGCACAATATTGATTTTTACAGGTGGAGACTGTAGAGTACATGATCGCCTGGTTCTTAACGTAGAATCGATACCGATGTGGCCCAACACAGCAAGTTTCATATCTTAGTTCTCAATCATTTCATTTGGGGATTTCTTCTTCTGTGTTCAGCTGTGCTGTAGTATTAGCGCACCTATTATTTTCATGATAGAGTTCAGTTTTCCATACAGATGAATGAACTATATTGAGCAAATTAATAATCCGAAACAGTTGCGGTCAAAATCTGTGACATACGACATGTAGATTAATGGAATTCTGGATATTTTCACAGAGAATTTGACAAAAACTGCGTTTACTTTTTTATTACCAACATCGAATTCCAGAGTGGACAATACTAAATTGTAAATAGGTTAGTAAAATATAGTTCTTGAATCAAAAGCGGCCTAGCTACTCAGTAAAAAATTAGTATTGAAAGTGAAAAAACGCTTTAAGTTCGTTTAGTCCAGATTTTTTATTTACGTTTTTTTCTGAGAAACTACTGAATCAAATTTGAAAAAGTGGGAAGCGTTGTAAAGAGAAATAGATTACTTTCCAAATGGGGAATTTTGGAGCGACAGTGCCACCCCCTAGGCTCCGAGTGAATTTTTTTACGAATGCCATTTATAACAAATTATTTTTGTTCCGTTTTCACTGGCCCACCCTGTATATCGTTACTGAAGATTTTCAATAATTTAAAACTGGGATTTCTGCATATTTTCTGTTCAGCATGGATCTACATCCATCTAGAGAAATGGTAGCTTCAGGTCAACGAGCTGGTAGGAATAGAAAAACTCAAGCCCATATTAGGATTTGGAGTACCGAAACTTTACAAACACTATATGTTTTCGGAATGGGGGAGTTTGAAGTGGGGGTAGCGGCTGTGGCATTTTCACAACTGGTAAGTTGGAATTTTTACTGGAAATTTCATTTTAGGACCCCTTCTCTTTCAGATATTATATCCTCCTTTCAACATGAAGTTAATCAATCGAACTCTGTTAATGGAGCTAATTTCTAATGTAAAAACTGTGTCCCTGAGCACTTCTGAAGTTTCTGACAATACTGGAACATGTATTTATAAATGAACTCTGTTAAAAAAATGTTATACTTACCGGAGCCACCTAATAGCGACTCTCGGGGGTGGTCTCTGGTTCTGTTTCGTTAGCCTCCTGTGTTTGTCCCTCTCTTGGAATCTGGGGTCATCTCTGTTTACTGCATTGTGTGGATCGCTTAGCGCTGGAATGTAGTGCGCTTGAATGCTGTCAAACTCGTCTTCTTCGTGTTGTCTCATAAACGCGTCTACGTAGTGTATGTTCAGGTCTAGATCCCGAAATATGTACCTATTCGGTACATATCTTGAAGCGTTTACGGCGGCCCTTACGCACGCGTTCGTAAACGAGTGTATCTGTCTTCTGTATGTCGCTGCGCACTGGCCCCAGACACTTCACGCATACAGGATTATTGGTAATATTACCGTCTTTATGATCTGCAGCTTCACTTTCAGTCCCATATTGCTTCTTCGATCTATTATTGGTATATGTTTTGTCGGGCAGGAACTAGGGTCGTACTCACACAGAACAGATTCAAACGGTTTTTTACCCCTCTCTCTCTCTTCAGCAACTCCTTACGTGCCGTTGTAAATAGAATTATGGTAAGGAGATCACAGTCACGTTTAATTTTCTCCTTTCAGTGTTATTATTATTTGTTAACTTTCATTCCTCAGCACCTCTGAACAAAAGAAATTAAATCTAAAGAAATGAACTTTGAATGTTCAAGCCCGTCTCGGATCTTCACAGAAAATTTCCTGCATTTGCAATTGGCAATACAACTGAAAGAGTCGACCTTCAATTTTGGAACAGGCACACTTGCAGACCGGTGGCTCCTTAGCCACTCGTCAGTGCAAGATAGTGACCATCATCGACCGAAAGTCATTGATATTCCGTTATTGAAAATCGAAATTCTTTCAGAGTATTTCAATCCTCGTCTTAAGTTGGAGCGAACATCAAAAATGTGACTCCGTCTAGTGGATATACCTACACAGTAGGTTGAATGGACTGAAGCCTATCAGAAAACAACTACTCCACTGGCTAATACCATGAACGGCGTCGGATTATATCCGTAATTATTTGTTAATTTTCAAAAACCCATTAAATACAGTTCACGGCTCTACCAATTGACATCTACCATAACAACATCCGAGACAAAAAAAACAATCAAAACATTGGACTCGAAAGGGAGAACCGGCTCCAAAGAAGATGAAGACCGTTTCATTATAAAAACGGTATCGAACTCATTGAGCGTCGCTGGTAAAAATGTATAGAGCTGCAAGAAGATCGTTTTTTTCAAAAACTTTTATGTTTTCTTCTGGGTACTTCTGGGACCACTCCCGTATACTGCATCACACAGAATCACACAGCTTTTTCTAAATATCAACTGATAAATACTGCCTTTGGGAATAGATTGCTTTCAAAGAAGAGGAAGCATTCTTCAGTTTATTAGTTACATATTCTCTGAAACGTAGAGATGTATCGATTATCAATCCTAAAATCGTGGAAAAATATATAGCCGAACACCAAAGAAAGCTCTCTTGCTTCTAGACTGGAATACTCTCACATCAGTCTAATTCACTTCGCTTTATAAAGAATTTACAACAGAAACTTTTTTTTCAGAATGGCGGTAGTTACGTTTTAGCAGTAGATGCTGGAAGAGAAAGCATACTCTCGGTTTGGCAATGGCAGTGGGGACACCTGCTGGGGAAAGTTGCAGTGAGTATCTATAACTTTTGAGTTTCAAAACTGTCCATATTTCAATCGGTTTATAAATGAAAAAGTTATGTTAATTCAAAGTTTCACGCAAAATATCTATTGAAAAACACACTATAAAAATACAGTTTAGTTGATTATGCTGAAACCTTGTTCAACTATTATTATAGTTTGTGAAACAAAAATTGGAAAATATTCTGCTGCTAGAAAATCTGGGAAAACCCAAAACTGAAGTCCACGCGATCGAAGTCCCGAGAAACAGCTAATAATAAATATAATTCCTTACCAGAGCTTTCCAGAAAATCATTCGAAGTATTTTTGATCTCTCTAGATGAAGTTTTTGCAAAATGGTGATGTTTCAAAGAATTATAGTCTTATTAGCTATTAGCCCAAGAACACAATTGGCAGTCGATCACTCTGCAGTATCATTTCTACAGCAAGCCCCTTCATATTCTGAACAATTATACTTTGAATAAGTGATTGTAGAAAATATGCATAATCACCATTTCGTGATAAGTTCAGCATAAAACGACCTCATCGAGATGGCAACCACCTAAAAATTCACCTTGAACAAAACCCTCCTTTCTATTGTTTTGAATTAACATCTTAATCGGTACGATCATCAAATTCCTTTGATAAGGACACATTTGCATGAATAATAAAATATTTACTCTTACCTGTCATTAGTATTTCCTTTGTATATGATATATTTCAGGTAATAAACTCAAGGAGTGGTATTTTTCGTGTCAACCTTCTGTAAGTGGTTATTTTTTGTTTGGAAAAAGTCCTGCGGATTTTTCCGTCTCACTTTGAAATTATAATAATATATTTTATTTCATTTGCGGTCGGTAAATCAAGTAATGTGATACTTTAATGTGTTTTTGAGAACAATGACGTTCAAGTTTCGACTTTCGAACAGTTCTCACTCAAAAATGATAATTAGAAATTCCACTCAAATCTACACAAAATGTACAAGTTGGGTACACTATTTTTGCCATATTGACGAAAGCTAAGATTTCAATGATAACTATGTGCATCTGTTATAAGAGTAACTATCATAATTTAAAATCATAGCCAACTGGAGAAATACGAGGTGTGTTCAAAAAATAAGCCCCTTTTTTGATAGATAAAATCATTGATTTAGATAAGTAATCGATAAATAAATCAGTTTTCTTTGTGAAAAATACTTTGAATGTATCAGGGTGAACTGCAAAGTTTACCCTTTCTACACGTGTATAAAGTTTTCCATTACAATTTTATTTTTTTCAATTCATCTAGATCTCAATAATGAATATGATGAAATATTAGATAGTTAATCAAAAATACAAAATTGAAAATGATTCACAACGTCCCGTCTTTTATCTAGTACATTAAAATTGAGAAACTAATAAGTATTTGTTTATAATATTTCATCGAATAATACGCTTTTCTTAATGAATTCGTTATTGAAAATCAAGAGTGAACACAATAATAATAATAGTTACTCAAACTTGCACAACTCTAAATAATAATTTTGTAGACATTTTTAATTTTTATCATTTTTTTTTCGTTAATAACATCAACTGACCAAAAAATGTGACTTTGAAGAAAATGGTGGAATCATCTGTATGATAGTATGATAATGATATACATTATGAATATTGAGACAAAAATCAATATGATAAAACAATATTAAAAAAATTCGTTATCTGCAATTACAAAAATTGTTGTTGAGAGATTAACACAAAATTTTCACAATAATATTGTCACTGAAACTTCAACTGAATTTCTTGAAGTTAATATTGATAGTACCTACTAGATTTTGATCCAAATACATTTCTTGATGCTGGTTTTAATTCATTTCAGACTCTGCAAGAGGAGCTAACAGGAGCTGTATTCCATCCTCTAGACGACAACTTGATGATTACACACGGAAAAGGGCATCTCACTTTTTGGAATCGACGGAAAGATGGGTTTTTCGAAAGAACTGACATAATAAAACCAGTAAGTCAAGAGTAGTAAATTATATATCTCGTACTCCAAAAAAACTTTCAGATAACTAATGTAGTAGTAATCAGTGAGCAATTGTATGATTTACGATACCTAATGGATAAGATGACAAATTATTTGTAACAAAAATTAGATAATGATTTTCCAGACACTTGAAGAATTGTATTAAACTTAACTTTCGAATACGTTTAAACTACCTTTTATTTCAATAAACCAAACAATCATTTTCCACTCTGTTACATAATAATAAATGTCAACAGAGGCGGCCTTAGGAATGGCAAGCTGCATAACCATCCAGGGTCTCGCTATCGCCATAAGTTTGTGCGCATGGGGGTGGGCTTGCCATCACGTTTGGTGCTTGCTGTATCTTTCAGACAGAAACTGAAAGAATTGACCCTCTGGAAACAACTACTTTTATATAAACATTGAATTAAATGAAAGAAAAAAACTTTCGAAATAATTTCTGGATTAACTATTCACAATTATCACTATTATTTGAACTTGGACGGTGCTCGGTATCAAAAAATCGTCTGCATTCACCTGAATAATAAATACCTCATAAAATATCTATTATGATAGAGACAGCATACCCCGGTGATCGGTAGCAATGAGGACGAAGTAAGATATATAGATAGATATATAGATAGATAGATAGTTTATTTAGCCACATCATGTAAAAAAATACATTTGTAGCAAGTCAAAACAATAACATATGAACATCCAACAAACATTTCAAATAGATTACAATTTAAATAAAAAAAAATATGATAATTAAAGGCCACAATTAAAATGATTCAGATTCAAACATATGAGTTGGTGTGGCCAGGTACTCATTGACACTATAAAAACAATGTATTAAGAAATTTTTGGTATACCTTTCGAAACTACATACAGGTAGAGTGGCAATATATTATAAATAATAACATTGAGTGTATTGATCGAGGATTTGTTTAGTTTCAGCCTGCGCGGTCTTAAGAGATTAGCAAATCTAGTGTTATGTTCATGGACCTATGAATTGGTCAGATGTTCGTTTTTGTTGTTATGAATTTTCAATAGAGATTGATAGATAAAGATAGTTTAGTTTTTTGAAGAGGGGTCGGCAGGTATCTCTGAAAACGGCATTTGAAATTATTCTAATAGCTCGCTTTTGTAGTAAAAATATTGTCTCAGCATTGAGGCAATTTCCCCAAAGTAAAGTTCCATAGCTAACATGGGAATGAAAAAAGTATGGTATGTTGATAGAAAAGTGTACAACTTGACAAAATTCTTCAATTGCCCAGTAGAAATAGATATTTGGAAAGTTTCGAGCCTAATTCTTCGATGTGGTATGACCAATTCAGAGTATCCTATAGGGTGATGCCTAGTAGTTTAACAGTTTCACCTTTTGCTGTATTATTATTTGTAGAGAATGTGATAGTTTGAGTTTTATCCTTATTTAGTTTCAAAAGGTTAGCACTGAACCATTTCTCAGCCTGATTTATCACAGTTTTCATTGTGGCGAGCAAATTCACACAGTTTTGCTAAGTACACAGAAGAAGAAGTCACTTATATAAATGATGAACAACAGAGGTCCCAAAACGGAGCCCTATGGTACTCCAGATTCGATTGGCGAAAAATCCGAAGTTCAATTTTCACCAAGATCAACGCATTGTTTACGATTGTTCAAGTTAGAGCTGAAGAGGGAAAGTGCAACTCCTCTGATTCCGTTTTCATTCAGTTTCGTTAGTAGATTGTGGTGAAAAACACAGTCAATCGCACAGTGTGGCCGAGCTATGCTGTTTTTGTTCAAAACCATCAACTATGCTCTTGGTCAAGAGCATAACCACACGAACAACAGCTTGTAAAGTATAACCAGATTTTCTAAAGCCATATTGAACCGTGTTGAGGAGATTGTTGATATCAAAGTAGAGGTATAGTCTTTTTTTTTTTAATAATTTCAAAAATTTTGCCAAATATAGGAACTATGGAGATGGGTCAATGATGTTCAAGGAAGTTTATATCGCCCTTTCTAAAAACTGGAATGACCTTACTGATTCTAAATTTATCAACACAGGCATTACGAAAGTTAATTTCATTTTTTCAAAGTTGATGAGTTTCCAGCTATCTCTGACTTTATTATCCGAGTCACTAATGAATTTATCAAAAGCAGATCTTTTCGATTTCAAAATAACTTTATGATATACATTGTTAACATATTTAAAAACTTGTCCATGATTAGGATAGTTAGTCACGTCATAGATTGTTTTTATGGAATGTCTCTCATTTTTGTTAGGTCATCGTTGAACCAGCTAACAAAGGTTCTGTTGGACGCACTGGAGACTTTTTTAAGGGGAAATAATTTATGGACTAGCCTTACATAAAGATTCAATAGAAAATCTACCATAACTTCAGAAGAGCTATTGTCGTTGAATATGCTCCAATACAATTTTTGTGGCGATGTCTGTAGTTCAAGAATACCTGAGGATGTTTTACTTCTTCTGAAGAGAGGGACATTTGAGGCATGGATCAATAACGCCAGATTCATAGCTGTTTCCATTAAAGTTTGTATATTGTCTATACAGCAACTTTGAACTTTGATAGTAGCGAGTATATTGTCTATACAGCTCTTTGAACCATTATCAACTCTAGTAATTTCTTTGATAGTAACCTCAAGTTCAAAAGAATTTGTTAGACAAATCAGATTAGTAAGATTCGAAGAAGGTCTCAAGAAGTTTATGTTGAAGTCTCCGAGTAATATTAGCCTCGTATATTTTTGTGAAATAAAGATTAAAAGTTCTTCAAGCTTACCCAAGAAAACAGAGCAATCTTCAAATAGAAAATGGGGACGTCAGGAAAGAATATGGAAGGAATAAAATCAACTTTTTTCGTTTTTATCATATCGTATTTTGTTTTTCAGCCTCTGAGGACTTTAATCACCTCTCTTCAGTTCGAACAAGACGGAGACGTCATAACTGCCGATAGCGACGGATTCATAACCATTTACAGCGTCGATGCCGACGGTGCATATTTCGTCAAAATGGAATACGAGGCACACAACAAGGGTGTTAGTTCGCTGATAATGTTATCGGAAGGCACCCTTCTGTCCGGAGGGGAGAAAGATAGAAGGATAGCCGCGTGGGACTCGTTACAAAATTATAAGAAAATCACGGACACGAAGGTTAGCCGCATATGATTTAATTTACTGCAAAAACTACTGATGCAATTGTTTCAGCTACCAGAACTTTTTGGGGGAGTGAGGTCAATTTATCCTCAAAGACCTGGAAGAAATGATGGTAATATATATGTCGGAACCACGAAGAACAATATTCTAGAGGGATCGTTACAAAGAAGATTCAATCAGGTCAGTTTAAATATTTTCAATCAAATAATTATTCGGTCAAGTTCTTTATGGTCAGAAGAATTATAATTCCCATTGACAAGATCTGTAGAGAAAATGAATATAACATTATTTTTGAAGATTTCAGATATTTAAAAACATGAAATACAAATCAGTTAACAGAATTTAAAAGAAAAAAAAAGCGCCTCAAAAGGGCTGCTTCGTTTCCTCCTGTTCATAAAAGAGGACATATCCCCCTTACTCACAAGCGATTTAGGTGAAATTGAGGACACGTGTGAATCGTTGAATTCATGCCACTATAAGGGTGTCTGCAACATGCTATGTAATGCCCGTTGTGAGTAGTCCCACTGTGATTCGAAAACGCATATAGATTATAACGACAAGGAGCCACATTGTCTGCTGCATCTTCCTTGCACCTCGAACACGTTGGTTTTTCATCTCCATCCAGAGTTTCCTGTCTTGTGAAGAAATGAAACAGACAGTATGTACAATGATTATCAATGCTATATCAATGCTATATCAAAAATAAAATAGACTGAAATATAAAAATAATTCTAGCTAATTTCATGAAATCACATTTTGAAATCCGTTAATCATGGATCACGTCAGTCAAAATAATTCTATACGTGGACTGTTCAAAAAATGGTACTTTGTAATAGACAAGTTGCTATTCTCAGGATCATAATGGATATGAAATGTGAGGAAGTTTAATCTTCGTTTCGAATATTATTACTTGGTGATTGGAAAACTTGTCGAAGTGTTAAAAATAACGGTTTGGTGTTGGGATAAAATTCCAGTAATAATCACTTGAAACGTTGACAGTGGCATACGGTGATTGTACCCTGAGTTACTGAGTGGTACAAGCTTTTCACAGAAGGTCGAGAAGATAAGAATGACGACACTCGCGTTGGACGCGCCAACACATCAACAACTGATGAAAATGTGTTGAGAAAGTGGGTGAAATTGTTGTGGAGCATCACAATTAGTTGCTGAAGATGTCGGCACTTTGGAAAAGAAGAAAAGAATCTGTAAAAAATTAAAAAGGTCAGCTGAAAAGTAACAATTATATTAAGCAAAACAACTGAAATTACCATGAAATGAAATACAAACAAAAACCAGAAAATCAAAAAAATTGAACTATTAACACGAGAAATGAAAAATTAAAAATTTAAAGATTCCAAACCAAGTTACTTCACGACGTTTCGATTGTTAGTGTCCACAATCGTCTTCGGGTGATAACTGGGCTTATCAGGGACTGCCATCTTGATTTCGTACAGGTTGGAGCCTGGCTCCCTTACCCTTTTGACTGATGTTTGTCAGAGTGGGGGTATTACTCTGAGAACTGAATATTTATAAGTCATTCGAGTGCTTACATCTATATCCCCTCTTCCATTTCTCCGCTTCATCGGTTTTAGTGGAAGCTGACCGTTTGGCGGGAGTTGGTCGTGTTCCGCTTGATTTGAGGTTTCCATATGTTGCGTATCTCTACGCTAGCTTGGCTAAGTTGGACAACATATATGCGGCTTCTTTGTGAAAACACTGATTTTCTCCTAAACCAGTGTTCCTCCTTGTGGATGATTTCAGCTTCAGCCCACTTGATGTTATGTTGATGAGTCCAAACATGCTCTGTTATTCCTGATTTGCTGGTGTCTCCTCGCTGTGTGGGTTTCTTGTGCTCGGCAATGCGAACTTTCAATGACCTCTTAGTTTCACCGATGTATGATTATCCGCACTCGCAGGGTATCCGGTAAATGCAATTCTTGGAATCGCAGTCCGCGTTTGGTGGCCTGGTTTTCGTGACGCTGCTACGGTTAGTGTTCCCAGATCTGAAACAAGTTCTGATATTATACTTGGAACCAATCCTTCTTATCATATCACAAGTACTAGTTGTGGCGTCTTCTAGCTGAAGCCTGTTCCATCATTACTTTGGAGTAACAATTCCGTTGAAGGTCATTTTTGATGATGCCTAGTTTCTTTTCGAGACATTCCTTTGTATTACAGAGCCAGAAAGCACGGTCTAGTAGAGTCTTGATGATTCCTTTCTTAGTCGATTGATGGTGGTTGGATTCCTGGTTCAGATAATGTCCTGTGTGAGTGGGGTCGTCCACGTATCTCAACCAGACTCGGGGCTTCTTGTGGGCTTCTTCAATGGCCAGAGTTTCAAACCACTCCATATATATGTTGGCTATGACTGGTGAAAGTGGCGATCCCATTGGCAGTCCCTCATCTTGCGTAAATAATTTGTCCTTCAGTTGGAAGTAGCAGTTTCTTACACAGCATCCTAATAATTCCATGATTACTTGTATTGGTGAGTTTATTCTATCTTTCAAGTCCCCATCTTCAGATAGCTTCCTCTGTATGATTTGAAGTGCTTCTTCGACAGGGACGTTGGTGTAAAGGCTTTCCACATCGAAACTGATCAGTTGATCCTGCTCTTTGACTTCGATTGCCCCTAGTAGTTCAACAAAATGCCTTGAAGATTTGCAAAAGATGATGTTTTTCCTTGCAGTGGTTTAATTATTGGTAGTAAGAATCTGGACAAGTTCTGAGTGGATGAATCTCTAAAGCTACGATCGGTCTGAGCGGAACATCCTTCTTGTGGATTTTGGGTAGTCCATACAAGTGTTAGCGATGATCATCCCCAACCTTTTCAATTTTTTACAGATTCTTTCAGATATTTCAAATCAATTCATATCTTATTAGACAAGGAAGTCCGAACTAATGAAATGCACCATGGAACATTGTCAACCACCTTCAGACAAGATTGAAAAGACCCATGAAAGCACAGCGTTTCGCGATGATTGAGGAGATAATAACCGATTAGCTGAAAAAGCTCAAGGACATACCAAAAAGTGAGGGGGATTACTTTGAAGGGAACAAAATAGAAATTGATGAGTAAAGAAATATTTTTGAGGAAAATGAAAATTCACCTCATTTTTTAACAGTCCTGTACAGAAAGTCAAGTAAGAGATCAATATGAAAAATAGTTATAATGGCCTCCTAGAATACTGCTTTTGATGGGGGGGATTCTAAAATTACATGTAAGTTTTCTCCAGCAAGAGAATATTATTGCTCAGAAGAAAATAAGGATTTCGAATTGAATTTTTACCTTGAAACAAAGCAGTTGCTAAGCACTTTTCTCTTTAAAATGCGCCACTGGCAAGAATAAAATGTCATACTTTCTAACACATGTATTATTTTTCACAAGAATATCTGGGACAAAACATTTGTTTCTTATAACTTCATCACCCTATATTTCAAAAGTTAAGTTCTGCCTCGTTCAAAACGAACTCAAAAATAGCTTCCCCAATTTTTACTTCGTCATCTCAAGAACCACCCTGTATAGTACAGAAAAACTAGACCTGTATTGTATCAAGAGAATATAAATCATCACAAGAATATAAAGAATGGTTTTTTTTTTCTTCAAACATTTGATTTGTATTCATTGTATACCTGAACATTTCTCTCAGTCATTTAATCAAGGATAATTCAATATTTTTGAATCCTAAGTCCGATTTTTTCCGTTTTTATAACAGACGTGGGAGACTCACACATATCAAGAAGTTTTGAGAGGTGGTTTGTCAAGAGAAAACAGCAAATTTTTAGCTGAAGTAAAACAGAGTGATCGTCCCAATTTTATCCAGGTACTAATTATTTTTTAAATATTCAATTTCTAACTGATTGTGATTACACTCATTCATTCTCGAATTTTCAACTACGTCACCTGTCATTCACTAGTTGTGTGTTGTGAGTCACCATGCACGATATTTGCCCCCCGTATTAAAAAAATCAGTGAAGGGGGAATCTGGGTAACATGTAGCTATGCTTCTAGGTGGTTTTTGGACATGGAAGACAATTATGGGGGCTTGCGGTTCATCCGGATGATGAGATTTTCGCTACGGCTGGACACGACAAGAATATAGCTTTATGGAGGAAGAACAAACTGATTTGGGTAACTCAGGTATGAATCACTAGCCAACAAATAAGAAGAAAAAAATTGCAACTAATATTATAACATCCTGACTGCCACTTGAACATCAAAAATTTTTCATCACGTAAAGATTTTGAGTTATAGTTATTTTTATTGTATACTAAAATTTTCACATATTATAGGGAAATATATAATTTTGAGGATAACAAATTTTCTGGGAAAAAATTCAAATGGAAGTGCAAGAAATAGATTTTGAGAGACATGCAACATCCCATTCTGCAGTAGTTTTCAAGTAGTTCTTCTACAAGTGTTTCGTAATTTTCTACTTTCTTGTTCCCTAAAATCTCCGAAACAATTCTTTTGAAAGAACTCCACGCAGCCATTACTTAATTTTTAATCAAATTGTTGATCTCTTTTGTAGTTTTCTAATTTGTAGTCCAACAAATATACTTTCCTTGGCCGTCTCTTTCTGGCACATCATGGCAACCTGCCTGGTCGTCATACATTTCCAAATCTTCCTTCCAATTTGCCGGGGGGGTGTTGGAACTGGCAAACCTTCTCCATGAAGAACCGGCCTTCTTCAGAAGGAATATCCGGATATACAATTTTGTGTTTGCTCTTTCTTGAAAAACCAGACACGTTTGTCATGTAAAGGTAACCAGTTAGATTTGCTGCACAAGTTTGGAACATACATGAGGAGCCCAATCCCGATTTTGATCACCAACAACCAGGGCCGTCGCGAAAAGAAAAACCAAGGGGGGGAGGGAATCCAAATTTTCCCAACCCACCCGCAAAATTTCCCAACTTCCGAAGAAATGAAAGCCGAGGGATTAGTTACTACTATAATATATTAATTTTCTTACTTAGCTATCTAAAGATTGGCTGAATGCGTATGCCCGTTAGGGTATGCACAAACAAAAATAAATTTTGGTGATTATAAAAATAAAAATGAGAATTATTCTACTTTGGACCAAGGTCCTTGGTCTTCCACCACTGTGGACTGTTCAGGACTGTTTTCTTACTTGGGAGAAATTAAAATTTTTTGAAGTTTTCAAACAACTCAGAATTTCAAAGTATGGGATCTCCAAGTTATGCATGTTGGGAAATCCCAACCTTCTCCTGATTCTTTCCCTTTTCTTATTACCTCTTCTTTTCTTTTCTCTCATTTTTATTTTTTTAATTTTTATTATTTTTTTACTATTATTTTTTTCTATCTTCATGGCCCAAAATTTCCCAACTTTTTCCCAAGTCGAAAAAGCAGGGGGGAGGCTCCCTCCCCCCCCCATGGCGACTGCCCTGCCAACAACACATCCAAAATACTTATGGTAAGCTACTGTGGTAATTTAGTTAATTGGCCGTTTCTGCGATTAAGGGTAAACTGACCACATATACAGGGTGTTCCTTAAACACATGCTAATATTTAAGGAGGTAATTCTTAGACCCATTTTAAGGAAAAAACGTCCTATGGACGTATGTCCTAAACGCCTTAACTTTTGAGATACAGGGTGGCAAAGTTTTCAAAAATAATCAGTTTTTTAATAATAACTGAGATAATTTTGTAGA